TCCGATGCTTCAGAAGTGACTTGGTGCTGCTTTCAATAGACACACTCGCTTTGAGTTTTTTTTTTTTGGCACCTTGACTTCATTGACCATTACCTTCCACTTGTGACATACTTGAAAACAAATATTCCGTTTTCGACTTACACGATTTCACATTCATTCCCCTCTTTAAGTGGCTTTGTCTTGTTGCCTTGTATTGTTTTAATTATTCTGTGAGAACATCAATGATATACTTGTCTCTTTATACACATTTTCCTCATAAACTATACCTCAAAATCATTTGCTTCCATGTCAATTCATTGTAATTCTACCCTCTTCCCCTTCCTAAAACTATCTACGATAGCACTGATTTCAATATCTGCTAATTCAGTTTCCTCGAGTAGGCTTCCTAACCTGTTGTATTCATTACTTCCTCCTCATCTTGTGACTCCTTGACTTAAATGTTAAATCTACTGTCTTGGAATTTGCACGGTAATCTACAATAGTCGAGATAATTTTTCAGTTATTTTAATAAGGTAACAATAATGCAACATCTTTTTTTGTTTTCATCAGCTCCCTAACTCTCCACAACTTGTTAATTGCTGCATCTATTGGGATTTGGGTGGAAAAACAACAATTGTACTACAAAATTTAACAGCTTATAGCACCAGCTTGTAGCACAAAGGCTCCTCTTTTCAGCTTTTTCCTCTAAAAAAAAAGACAAAATTTGAAGTGTCTTTCTTTGTTCAAGGTAATTCTATATAGACAAAATTATATGCAGTGTAATAACCCAACCCTCGCATATGTTTCTGATATACTTTCAGTCCCTTATTCTGTGCATTTAAATGCTTAATGTGAAATTTCATGTGAAATTAAGTTTAAGCAAAATGATCTTATGATTAGAGACCTGTATCTGTTTAATAAGAAAAAATATCTGTCACAAGTAAGATGTTTGAATCAGAAATTGAGAGCCTTAGAGGCTTGATAATTTGAAATTGATTTTACATTTGAGATCGGCATGATTTTTTAAGTTATAATATGATTTTCTGTGAAATTTTAATTTGGAATGATTAAACTGATTGATTTTGTCATATTCACCTTTTATATATACATCTATGTTCTCTTAAACACTTGACTTAGAAGATATTTCTTGAGAGAGGGTTAGAAGAGAAGAGAGTTAGAGAGGAGAAAGAGAAGAGCTTATCAAGGAAGAAGATTAAGAAATTGAGAGGGTTTGTAGGAATTTGAGTCAAAGTATATATGAATCACTTTTCCTTTAACCTCTTTTTAAAACTTCTCTTACTTTCATGGAGTTTGTTATTGAGATTAAGTGTGTGGTAACTATTTAATAGGAAGAGTATTCTTAGCAATTAGTTGTTTTGGAGATAAATTGGATTATATGGAGGAATTGTAACTTATTCCTTGAATTCTCACGTTGAAACTACATGCTTGTGCATGTATATTGTTTGTATGTTAAGAAGAAGTGATTTGTGTTATGAAATTGAAAATGACTAATGTAATTGAGCTTGTAATTCATGATTATTGTAGTATTATATACTTATAATCTATGTTACCATTATGTTAAGCTATTGTATTGCCTTAATTTCCCTCTATTTTGAGCCTTAGTGTGTGCCTACCAAGTTGAATGTTTGGTTGAATTTCGGACTGTTTTCACACAAGAAATCGCCGCACGTGCAGGGGTCATGGCCGCACGTGCGGAAGCACTGCCGTACGTGCGGGAATCATGACCGCACGTGCGAGAAATAGGACATTTTCGGATTCCAGCTACTGCTAAAAAGGCACGTGTAGGCTTCACTGCCGCACGTACGGGACTAACCACCGCACGTTCAGGGCTCACAGCCACACGTGTGGCCCATGCTAGAAAAAATGGTTTGCTCCGTTTCACGTGCTCGACCCTCGAATATTTTTAAAATCTGTATTTAAAGCCTTTTTGATATCTGTAAATTCATTCGAAGTGAAACGAGTTCGAAAATGATTTAACAAGGAAAAAGAATTAATCTGCAAGTTATTCATATATGTAGGTCACAATCCGGGAGGAACAAGCACGCCGCTATCGCACTGTGAGTAATAGTCTTGTAGTATTATATTCTGTTTACTGTTACTGGTTATCATTAGCGTTCTGTTACCTGTAAATCGCCTATGTCTCCGTATGAGAATGGCATGTGAACTATTAAACGGGATTGGTCTAGAGGTGAGTAGTAGTACTGTAATCGTACATTTACTTACCGTTAATAATTCTTATTATTAATGCTCTGTTCTTTGCAAGAAATGACGTTAATATTTATGTCGATTGAATATCGGTGCGAACTTATGTGAACATTGAAAGTTTTGTGTACATCGGTATGATTCTGAACCTACTCTGCATTTTGGTTACGGTTAATGGTTATCAGTAATGTGCTATAACCTGTAAATTACCTATGATTCCGCATAAGAATTGCATACAAACTATTAATACTGTGGAGTTGGTTAACGGAAAGAAATCGGGAATGTAAACCCCATTTACCGGGAACACGATATTTTGAATTGGAACATGATATCCTGAGTACCCTATCAGGGACTCCTACAGTCTGTTTAGTTCAATGTTGGATTAACTTTTGAATGACTCAATCTAAGGAAAGAATTGAATATCAATGACATTATTATGTGACTCACACTACGATGTGAATTGTTCTGTCCCTATTAATGCAGTGATATATTTGCCTTCTGTTAATAGTTATTATTAATGCTCTGTTATCCGCAAGACAACTATGTCAACTTGTAATAAACCATGGAATAATTTATGTACACTATTGTGTAACGGTATTCTCATTAATCTGGGATTAATCTGTTCTGTTTACCGCTTTGTTTATGCTATGACATGATGTGAATTGTTTGGTCTTTAAGACCTATTAATTTCTGATATGGAACAAAGTGCTGTACGGAACTAAGTGCTACAGCGTGAGTCATCTCTAGAATCCGTGCGAGACACCTCTTGGATCCATACATATGTGAACTAGGCCTATGGTCAATCTGTAAGCTCTGTTAGGCCTACAGCCATTCGGTATAATCTATTATGGTATGGAACAAAGTGCTGTACGGAACTAAGTGCTACAGTGTGAGTCACCTCTAGAATTTGTGCGACACACCTCTTGAGTTCATACATGCAAGACTGGGCTTAATGCCACTCTGTTTAAGGGCTCAATGCCACTCTGTTTAAAATCTGTGAGGCCTATGGCCGTTCTGTGAAATCTGTAAGGCCTATGGCCGTTCTGTGAGATCTATGAGGCCTATGGCCAATCTGTGAAATCTGGGCTCAAAGCCATTCTGATATGTTTATAAGATAAGATTAACTATATGACCTCTGCATTTGTACACGTTATAAATACTGCAATTCAAGTTAATCATTGAATAGTTTAAGTACTATTATTTATTGAGCTTAGCTCACTCTGTATTTTGTCTGCTTCTATAGGTAATCAATCTGGAGGTCAGCCTTAACCCTCGACGCACGTCTCCCTTTTGTCAACCTCAGTGTGTCCAGGCACTTAGCTGAAGCCCGTGCATTTTGTGGAATTTTGTTAAACTTTTGACGTTGCACTCTGATTGTTAGTTTAAGGTTGAAATGTATATAACTAGCTCTCAAGTGTATGTCATCGTATGCTTATTCGTCTTATGCAATGTTTGTAATCCTGGCATAGTAGTGGTAACTTAATGGATGTTACTTTATGTTATTGTATGATATTAAATGCTTTCGTTCAGGCCCCATATGTTATGTATATCCGGTTAAGTGTCCGCTTCTGAGTAGGTCATGCCCAAACTTTTAGGGGCGAGTTTGAGGCGTGGCATGCAGAAACTTCATACATAAGAATATCAGAAGGCCCACAGCTGTGTCTATAATTGCAAAAAAATTTCATTAGCATTTTCCTTTCCAATAATACTACAAAAATAATCAATCTCAATAAAATCATAAGATCACTCTTCTATCCCTTGTTTGAGCAGGTTAAATCATTCAGAACAAAAAGAGAAGTGGATCAATGGCTTTTCAGCAATCCCATGCAATGCCCTCGAGCTCTCCATTTTGTAGAAAGAAATGCTATTGTAATAAGCTATGGTTTACAAACTAATTCTACTCCGGTTGGAAAGCAAGATCATTTTTAAGATCCCACATTCAAATTCCAAATTAGAACATCAAAACAGAGAACAAAAATCTGACAAAATAGAGGGCCAAAATTTGAACTTCAACATTCAAAATTAGCACCAAAAATTACAAACCCAATTAAATTAGAAGAGCAAAACTACCAAAACTGTGTTGGGAATGTGTTATTCTTTATTTATTCAAAAAAAATTATGATATAGATGATAGAGATACATATATAGATACATATATATGTCTGTCAATATAGAGAGAGAAAGAAGAGTTTTTCACTTACCTTGAGCGAATGATAAGAATGAGTTTAATCGTCCACGCCGATAACATAGACCACAACGCCGTTCAAATCCATCTCGCCGTTCGAAACACTCGCCTTCTCTGCATTAGACCCGTCATCTTCCTTGCTGCTGCTTCTCTCTTTTTCCTTCAAAAGTTGAGTGGTGCAAAGAGATGAAAGGTTTAATTTAGGGTTACTATTGGTAATATAATGGGGTGTAAAGAGAGTTATATTTTTTTTAGTAGTGTAATGAGATGGTGTGTAAGGAAATAAAAGATTGGTGTAAGTATAATCATCACCAAAATATTCAGAGCCTCCGTTTGGGAAGTGGGTTGGCTTTTTGACTTTTTGGTTTTTTTGGCTATTTTAGCCTGGGCTAAAAAGTTTGGTTTGGGAAGGATTTTTTGATTTTTTTGTTTTTTTGACTTTTTTTGTGAGAGAAAAATGTAATGATTATGGGTTAGATATGGTATTTTATTTTTTGTGACTAAAATAACCTATTTTATTTTTATGGTTAAAATAGCCAAAAAAAAAAAAAAAAAAAAAAAAAAAAAAAAAAAAAATCCCGCTCTTGCCAAACTGAGCCAGAATATCAAATTGGCCCCTCTCTCACTCTCTCTCTCTCTCTTCAAACCCTTATTTTGAACTTGAGGGAAACTGATCGACTCTCTCTCTCTCTAAACCCTAATCTCACTCTGAGAGATTAATCTCAGTGATTTCGATTCATCTCAGAGAGAGGGTGAGAGATTCATCTCAAAGCGATTTCGAGTTCGATTTCGAGGTTCTGTCTCTCGATTCTGAAGTTTTGTCGTTCTCGATTTTGAAGCTCCACCGCCACCACCACCTGCACCGGCGAGAGCGAGCACTGTCATCTACTAGGGTGAGCACCACCGTCTACAATCTCAGTTTCGTATTCTCTTTCTCTCTCTCAAGCTCTTCCTTCCCGTCGATTCTTCTCCTAGGGTTTACTATCGTGAATCTTCTCCTAGGGTTTTCAATTAGTGTTTTGAAGAAAAAACCTGGTGAATAGCAAAGAAAATATAGTTTTCGGTAAATCTAGTTGTAGTGATAGATAAATTTTCTGCTAGAAAACACCAGCCATGTCTAACAATCTGCTCAACATGGGTACAATGTTGATTTAGTTGTTGATTTTCGTTTGTGCAGATTAGGATTGAAAATTGGGGGCAAAACGCCTTAGATTGAGAAGGCAGTTGCAGAGTTTCTGTTCTATATATCTTCTCTCTTCTATGGAATTGTCATTTTATATATTTTTAATATAAATAAATGCTAGTCTCAATTCATTTGAATTGGTCAACTCTATATAGCTTACAATTAGTCAGATTTGTGTTGTATGTTTCTGTGTAGTGCTTACAATTGGTATGTTTTCGTTGTCTCTGCTCGTATAAAGCCTCTTTTCTCAGGAATTTTCGGTTTTGTAAGTTGAAAAATGTTGGTCTGAAATTTTGGGTTTGTCTATATGTTTTCCTGTAATCATGGAGTGTAGAGCACAGGAAGCTAGGAATTACCAAGAACTTTGCGTAACTCTTTTGTGAACTGGTAAAAGGAGAATAAAAAATGTGAAATAAGTTTTTGGATGCCATTATCATATTTGTGCATTTTTTGTATCATCAAACCAGAAGACCAGTTAGGAGATGCAGTCACCAGAATTGCAATTGCAACAACAAACCCACAAAATTTGGCACATGGTGAAGGTATAGGTATGGTGGTTGCAAATTAAAACCACACATAACATAACATTCAAATAACTGACTAGCTTTTTAATCACTCTGTTTTTGGTTTTTTTTAGAGGGAATCTCAGAGTTCTATGGAAAATGGTATAATATGTTGTTACTGAAATAATGGCATTTAAAGTTTTTTTGAATAAAACAATGAAATTGTTTCAAGTGTATTTATTTTATTTTATTTTATTTTATTTCAAGGACTCTACTGCAGAGCTCTTCATGGGAATCTTCTTATTGTTTGTCTTTGCTGTAATTAGTAATATAGAATTCAACTGTTGACTCACTGGAATTGTTTTCAGTGTTTTTGGTTTTTGGTTTCTTCTTTTGCTTTTTAAAGTTATGATTTTGGGGGGTATGGTTAGACTTCTCAAGACAGTTTTTGTGTTAGGTTTTTTTTTTTCAATTTTATTTTTTGTATTGTTATTAAAGTTCATCACCTTTGGATACTTTGACCATTTCAATTATTTTCTTGTGTATCAGACTTCAATATAGTAATAATATCCTTCTAAGGTGGTCCACTTATCCTCATGAGCTGAGCTGACCCTTTTTCTTCTCTCTTTTGTGTTGTTGAATAGCTTTGACAATTTTATGCAACTTGTGATTGGTACATTATTAACACCCATGAGTTGAGCTGAGCTAACCCGGAGCTGAGCTGCACCTTTGGACTCTATGTCGTTTTCGCTTGCCAATTGCTCCTCCTTCAACCACTTGTCTCTGCCCTTGCTAACATTGCCCCACTTCATTCTCTTCTTCTTCAACCTTTGAATTGATTTCACTTATAGATGATTTGCCTTTAAGTTCAACCTTGTATTGAATACTTGTGGTTAATTCACTATATTGAGCTATATATATATATATATGTATGTATGTATGTATGTATGTACTAGAATGTGTGCACACCTGATGGGTGATATGAAAATAAAAAATATATGTAGATGAAGAGGAAAAGAAAATTGAAGAAGTTACAAAAATGTGAAATTTAAAATTTTAAATAAAAAAGTAAGGCAAATGTAGGACAATTTGGGAATGAAAAGGCAGTGATAATGCTTCACTGGGCTGTAGGGTTTATGTAATAGAATAGTAATAACATAGATATATATTGTGTTCTAATTCTTCTTCCTAATCGTAATTTTTTAATGGTATTTGGCTGGGGATGGTGTTTGTAATCGGGCTTCACTCAGTGTAATTACTGAGTTGCAACAGTGTGATAGGATTGGTATAATATGACTTTTGAACTATATTAATACTCCAATGCAATGCTGGAAATTTGTTGTCAGCGTATGAAAAAAGTTACATGAATGTATAAAGAAAGGAAATTTACATGCTTTTATAGCTTATTTCTAGTTAATGACTAGAAATAAGTTATTTTTTATGATATTACGGTGGTACATTTTAGATCATATTTCATGACAAGTATAATTTATGAATGATCATGAATCTTGTGTTAATCTGAATTGGAATGATTACCATTTCTTTTTCTTTTAATTGTTTTATGATTTCTTATGTTATGGCTACTTAAATTTTGGAATTTGATTGTTAGAACTGTCTTTGCTCTGGAACATTGTCAATGCCAAAATTGGTTTTGAATTGAACTAACAGTTATGTTATAGGGTCCCTAACTATAAACCAATATCAGAGTTTTCTGAATGGTTTTCTTGGTTTAACAACAATAGTGGAACTCTAAACTCTAAACCCTCTCTCCAATCACCAAATCAGAACAAGGTTGAAATCATGGAAAACCTTTAACGATCACCTTTTCCACAAATCAACCAAAACTAAATCACCTAAACATACTATGCCAATGTTGTAACATTGCAACTACCTGCTCATAACCTGATACTTGAGAATTTCTATGGAGAATTGGAATCCTATTGTGATTTATATCGTTTATTCTTATTTTTTCATTATTAATTTCCATCCTATTATGTGCAGAATGATCCTTGGCTTTCTCACCATAGTTTTCTTGTTAGATTGCTCATCAAAACTTTAATCTTTAGCGGTTGATTTAATCTTTTCTAGGAGACTTTTTTGTTGGAGAATATATGGAAATTATGTAGTGTGTTTTTATCTTTGCATGGATATAGACTCTGGGACTCTTTTCTGTTAGTTTCTTGACGGAATTTTATTACTCTATAATTGACCATGTCTTTGTTTGCTTCTGTGCGTGTGTATGACACTCCAATGTTGTTTTTATTGCACTTTAGAGTTCTGAGGCTGAGGAGGACTTGGCTGCTCTGGAGAAGAACTATGAGGAAGTTAGGACTCGGTCTGCTAAAAGAGAAGATGATGATGGTGATGAGTACTAGGCTTATTGCTTGTTTGAATTGAAACCAATGGACTCAATTGGTTTACAATTTGGATTGCAATTTGCCTTTTAGATTTATGTTTTTGGTGGTTTGTGTTTGCGTTATGTTTTTTAATAATCTGTGTTTCTTTGGTGTTCTGAACTAATGATGATAGTTATGATATTCCTATGGTTGTTTGTTTGTTGAATGAAAATTTATGTGGAAGTTTTGTTGAAATTTATGATAATCTCCTTGTTGAATTTGTTATTTGACAGGTTTGTTGCTTGATTTTGGTTTAGAATAATCATGCAATATTTGTCAACATTAGTCAATCTATTGAAATAGCATCAAACATTTATCTATATTATTGTTATTTTTCAGCTTTATTATAGGTAATTTTTTAGTTTAATCACATAGAATTGGCATAATTTCAAAAAAAATAAAAAATAAAAAAGCTATAACGGAGTTTTTCATATGTCATTATACTGCCACCGGTTAGATTTTTAAAATATAAAGACATTTATGACGGCATTTTAAAAACGCTGCTTATAGTAACATAACGATGGTTCTGAAGCGCCACAAGGCTACAACGATGGTCGCGTCGTCAGCGTTTGGTATTAAGCAACACGAAAAGAATTAGCGGCGTTTTATATACTCAGAGCGGCGTTTAAAAATGCTGCCACATGCCTAATTTTCTGCAGTGTAACAATTTATATAGCTTCATTCTGTTTATTGGGTTCATGATTTTGGGACGGTAAATCTGTTTAATTTCTTTTCATTGAACTTTGGTACTTCATACGGGTTAAACATCTTATGGATTTTTTATGTTCTGCTATTAATACATTGGAAGTTGGGTTTTTTTTTAATAATATGGAAAGCTTCTCGCCATCTAATATTATAGGATACTGCCTGATCATTTTTTATGTCCCAGATTTTATTTGCTTTGTCCCTTTCCTAGATGCTTGTGTAGGCAATTACAGACAAATTATGACCTTAATGTGGCAAAAATTAATAGGGGCGGGCTGCTGCAGCAGCCATGGTCACCTTATGTTTTGAAATTTACGTTAGATTATTATTATTTTTTTAAGCACCTTATTTGTGATTTTGTATTATTTACGTTAGATTATTATTATTTTTTTAAGCACCTTATTTGTGATTTTATATATAAATAATATGTACGTGTATATATATATATATATATATATTTATGAAAATATATATAACTATGTGAATCTTACGATTCACGATTGGATTTGATTCGCGATTTGACAACCATGAGTGGAGGAATAACCAAAGAAGACACATTTAAAGGTTCTAGGATTCAATTTACGCTCAGTTGTGAGCATGAATGTAAACATAGGAGACAACCAAATATTCTTGGTGGTAATTGGGTGTTGGTTTGGGAAGTGGGTTGGCTCTTTGAATTTTTTGGTTTTTTTGGCTATTTTAACCTCGGCTAAAAGGCTTGATTTGGGAAGGGCTTTTGGCTTTTTGGCTTTTTTGACTTTTTTTGTGAGAGAAGAGTGTAATGATTATGGATTGGATGTGATGTTTTATTTTTTGTGACTAAAATAGCCTATTTTGTCTTTTGTGATTAAAATAGCTAAAAAAAGCCCTAACCCAACTTGCCAAACGGAGGCTTATTTTCGGGATAGAATTGTGAAAGGGCACTGATTAGAGCTATGTTACTTGGAAGGTGAATTGTTTCGGTATGTGGAACAGGAACATGAACGTGGCACGTGACATGTTCTAAAATGTGTTACGATAGGGGTAGACTTATATATATTATACTTAAGAATTTAACATACTTATAGAGTAAATTTTTTATTTTTATTTATTATTATTATTATTATTTAAATAACTATTAGACATCTAATAAAATGTAATATTTTCTATGAGCATTATGACCTTTTTTTTTTGATATTTTTGTTTTGTCAAAACTTAACTCACTTTAGATTTTTTTCATTATATTTGATTTTTTTTCTTCTTAAGGTAACATTTAAGGACATATATTGAAAAAAAATTTGGAATTGCTTTAGATCACAAAATTTACTATTTTGGAATGGAAGTCTACCATGTTTTGGAATGTACGTACTAATATGTAATTTGCTAGGGCATTAGTGTTTTCTGATAAAATAGGATTGGAGTTTTATTGCCCAATACTCTTGAAGGTAGTCAGTTTATGAGATGAGCTGCAGTCAACACGGTTTCCCCCAATAGTATTTAGGCACTTGTTTCTTAAATAAAGGGGCTCGGTTTGTTTCAAGAAGATGACAGTTTTTTTCGTTCTGCAACCCCATTCTGTTGTAGAGTATTTATACATGAAGATTGGTGTATTATCTCTTCCCTTTGAAAAAAATGTGGAAGAATATGGTTATTCTTTCCTATTGTTTGATTTAATATTTTTAATTTGAACACCAAACTGATTTTGAATCATTTTAAGAAAAATAGGGAAGACAAAACTAACATCAGATTTATTTTTCATAAGAAACAACCAAGTAACAGGAGCAGAATCGTCAATGAAGGAAATAAACGAGTGCCAATAATATTTGAAATCCTAGATGTCCCCCACACATCAGTATGAACCAAAGAGAAAGGATATAAAGATTTATTATCACTAATTTTTTTTTTTTTTGGGGTGAATAAGACATAAATTAAAGACAAAGGATATACAAGATTACACGGGGAATACCCCAGGCCCTACAGCAACTATACAACAAAGATCAGCAACCAAAAAAACCGAAGAGACAATGCATGAGAAGAAACCAAAACACACTGTTCAGCAACCATATCAAGAAAGATAGGGAGAATGAACACTGCGAAAAGCAGCCCAAAATCGAGAACTGAAAAGCCCCATAGCAACACAAAATAACGGCACCAAAGCCGAAGACAAAACCCACGCAATGTTTTGATGAACAAAACAGGACCTGTGTAACAAATATCCAAGTGCAAGACTCAAAACTAATTCAAAACCAACACCAAACAGTAAAGAAAAAAGGAAAGACAAAAACATGCCAACATGGACCACATAATTCCTAGTACATCCCACTAGGATAGGCAAAATAACTAACATCGTAAAACTAAATAAAGAAGATAGCTTATATCCCTAAAGAAACATCCAGCGGTGCATTCAGCAGCCAGCCTCGAGCCAAATACCCCCAAGAACCAATCCAAGTAGTGGACCTCAACTAGACAATATAGAAAGACCTGCCAACATGGAGTGAAAAAATCCATTAGTGATTATGGACAGATTCCATTAGTACTAGTAACCACAATATATAACTCACTTCACTAAACCCACAATAATCTCACATCACTCTGTAGTATTTGGAATTTAGCACACAATGTATAGGCTCTCATCACTCAACCAACATAGCATTGCAGCACACCATTACACACCATAGCCTGCATATAAAGCTTACAATATATATAAACATTAGATAAAACATTTGTGAATAATTGTTTCACTCAACCCACTATTCTGTCAGTTGTCATTATTTGGACTCACAACACTCAACCCTCATTGAATTCCAAGCACTTCTCATTACTACACAAGAAGAAAACAGTTAGGAAAAGCACTCAGTTTGCTTACATTCACTCGACCCTCATATAGTAAACTCACATCACTTAGCAGCCCTTCCATCTCCAAGAGCATGGGGCTTCAAAACAGTAGCAGGCAAATTCCAATGGTCAATGTACCAATTGTCACCTGCATTTCTAGGAACATTTGTGATAGACAACAACCTACCCCTAATCAGTTGGACAATAATTTTAACAACCATTTCTTCTGGCTTGAATTCTTTATTGAAAATTCTGTTGTTCCTTTCAAGCCAGATAATATAAACAGAACACAACAATGACAATTTGATAATAATGGATCTCAATGACCTTCTCTTAGTCTCTCTAGTAGCAAAGGGAATAATGCCAGGCCACTGAAAATCAGGCCACTGCACATTACATTCAGCTTTGATTTCAGTCCAAATTTTAGCAGAGAAGACACAATCAAAAAAGAGGTGAGAATGATTTTCAGTAACATGTTGGCAAAAGGGGCAAGTTGGTGTAGGAGAGATACCAAATAGCTGAAGCCGGTCTCCAGTATTTAGTCTCTCATGGATAGCCATCCAAACAACAAAACTAGCCCTAGGGATCTGGTGAGCCCCTCAGACAAATTTATGCCAATCAACTTTATCAAGCTTAAGCCGCCAATGATTCCAAACAGCATTAATAGTAAATTTCCCATCAGAAAGAGACCAAGTAGGTTGATCATCCAATGGAGGATTAGGCCTGCAGCTAATGGAGGTGGAAGAAATCAGCTCCCTTATTTCCCAAGAGTTAGGGACAGGCCACTTCCAAGAACCCCCATCCACAATCTGATTGACCTTAGTCTCACTATTAAGATTAGAGTCATACAAGATTCTGTCCCCAAATTTTTTCCATAAAGGACCAAGAGGATGCCAATTATCATACCATAAAAAGGTAGAGTCACCCCTACCTATTTTGTGGATAATAAGAGGTGATATTTTATCCCTAAGAGCTAGAATCTTTCTCCAAACCCAAGATGAGTTGTGGGGTACCTTTACTTTCCAGAAACTTCGGCCCTTAAGTAAATACGATTTAACCCACTGGCACCACATAGACATTTCCCCTCCAGAGAAAAGGAACCAAATATGCTTGGCTATAGCAGCCATGTTCCAAACCTCTAACGATTTAAACCCAAGACCACCTTTATTTTTTGGCACGCAAATTTTTTCCCAAGCAATTTTGGCACTATGTTTCTTAAGATCCGTACCCGACCAGAAAAAAGCTCTAAGGATACCCTCAATCTCTCTAATAACCCGCTTGGGGAGGATAAAGAGAGAAGACCAATAAACCTGCATAGAAAAGAGAATGGTCTGAATGAGTTGAGCTCTACCAGCATACGAAAGAGCTTTATTGGTCCAGCTCTTAATCCGAATTGTGATCCTATCAATGAGAATTTGACAGTCGAGGCCCTAAGCTTAGTTGTGATCAGAGGGACACCAAGGTATTTAACAGGAAGAGTACCCTCAGTAAACTTAGCAATTTTGAGAATATCCTCTCTCAAATTCCCATTACATCCAGAGAAATAAATATTGCTTTTGCTGAAGAGGTAAGGCCTGAAAGAGAAGAGAACTCCTCCAGACCTTGCATGATTAAACTAACAGTGGGGACATCCCCACGACTGAATATGATCAGATCATCAGCAAAGCAAAGATTGACAATCTTAGATTTCTCACACCTCCAATGGAACTTGAATAGAGGATGATTGGACTTCTCCCCAAAAATTCTAGCTAGGATTTCCATAGCCAATACAAAGAGATAAGGAGACATAGGATCTCCCTGTCTAAGACCTCTAGCACCTTTAAAGTAACCATGCAAGCTCCCATTGATGCAAACAGAGAAAGAAGGACTTGTCATACAAGCCTTGGTCCAGGAGATCATAGTGGGAGGAAAAGCCATGGCTTTAAGAATATCAATGATAAACTCCCATCTCACACTATCATAAGCTTTCATAATTTCCACTTTCATCGCACACTTAGGGGTAGTGGAATTCTTATGATAACCCCTCAAAATTTCTTGAGACAAGAAGATATTATCAGAAATTCTCCTGCCCTACACAAAAGCTGATTGCACAGGATCAATGAGGTCAGGCAAGACCTCTTTAATCCTATTAGCAATGATCTTCGCTATACATTTGTATATAGTGTTGCAACAAGAGATGGGTCTAAAGTCTCCAACTTTTGCAAGGTTAGGAACCTTAGGGATGAGAGCTATGATTGTACTATTAACTTAAGAGAGAAGTTTTCCAGACTCAAAGAAGGTTCTAATAGCCTGGGTAACCTCTCTACCAACAATATCCCAAGATTTTTTGAAAAAACCAGCCAGGTAACCGTCAGGGCTAGGGGCCTTGTTAGGTTTAAGAGACCAAAATACATCCTTAATCTCCAGATCAGTCACTGGTCTAGCAAGGAGAGCAGATTGATCATTGGAGACCCTAGATTTAACAAGGGCATTAATTCTTTCAAACCCATTATCACTCAATTGAAATGAGACATGATGATATTTGGCAGCCTGACATACTTCTCAATGACAAAACTTATCATCCAAATTATGAAATAAACCGAGAAACATAGCCTTTAATAAAAAAAAAGAAGGATGCCCTAGACAAAAGTGATGAAGCAAACTTTGTGCATTATTTGGTGAGAAGTTTTTTGAAAAATGAGATAAAGATAGATGGCCATTGTCCTTGCCACCACAGGTATCCAGATAGTAAAGTTCTTCCTTCTCTTTAGCAAGCCCAAACGTCCTTTCCATAACTGGTTCTTGAAAGATACAATGATTGGGAAAAAATGTCACTTCACAATTTAGATATTTTGTAATATGATGTATAGACAAAATATTTATAGAAAGGTTAGGCACATGAACAGATTTCAAAGCAAGAGAAGGTGTAAGATTTTTGGTTCCCTTTCCCACCATAGATGCAAAGGTTCCATCAGGAACTTGGATTTTTTGGTTTCCGGGGCATGTGGTGTATGTTTTGAAACAATGTGAAGAGGTGGTCATGTGGTCTGTGGCACCTGAGTTTATTATCCAGGTTCCATGCAAATTACAATCCTTTGAGACTAAGGGCTTGAGATGAGGAATACTTACTTGAGTGTGCCAATGAACATGAGCCAACCAGTTTGTCAAGTGAAGTAAGGAAGCTCTGAAGTTTTCTTGATTTTCTCCTTTTGTAATATGCCGATTTATCACTAACAAGGGCAATATTTGCTTGACTACCTTGTAGAGCATACCATTGTTGAGTGTCGTTTATACCAAATGGTGTTTTTCCTTTCAATTTCTAGCACATCTCCTTATTATGCCTTGGTTTCTTGCAATGGTTGCACCAAAGGTCCTCTTTATTGATTGGTGGCCTGTATGTCTCTCCTTTGTTTGACTTCAGGCTACTGAATTTGTTTAGAGACGGTGGTTTAACCATGGCCAAGGGTGTATGACAAAAAATACCTCATTCAAAGAAGGTAAAGCTTCTATTCCAAGCACTTGCACCTGAATTTGATCACGTTCCACATTGAGTCTAGCCAAGAACTTATAAATTCTTCCGTTTTCCACAAATTTTAATATCATAGTAGCACCATCATTGCACTTCATCTTAATGTTTTGATAGTAATCGAGTTCAAGCCATAAATCTTTCAAGTGTTATAGTACTTAGTAACAAACTTTGTACCTTGTTTTGTTAAGTGAATCTTGGTTTTAGTTTCATAAACCAAGGCTACGTCCTTAACTTTGGAGTAGGTCTGCTTCACAGTGTCCCATATATGGCAATTGTCAAAACATACAGGTTCTATTTATCTCTAGTTGCATCCAATTCCAAAGCCATGACATAATTGAGGAGTCTTCCACGTCCTAAACCTTAAACTTTGGATCTTCACTCCGCACAGAACCAATTAGATGGCTGAGTTTTTCCTTACCCATTAGAAACGTCCTTACCAATTGAGACCATACCAAATAATTTCTTCCATTGAGTAGATATGATGTTTGACTTGGTGTTGGTTTGTGCAATGGTTTCAAATGTAACATACATTGTGGGATATTTCTGGGTAGAGTTTGAGGTGTTTGAAGGCAATAGAAGGTTAGGGATTAAAGGTAATGAAGGCCAAGAGATATTCTACAATCAATGAAGGATATGTAGAAAGATTCTCGGTAGAGAAGAAGAAATGGGAGTAGAAAAAAAAAAAAAAAAAACTTCGAGCTTTAATACCATATAGATGAATAATTCTACTTACTATTAGCTAAGGGAAAACATACAAAATATATAGAGTACAAAGGACACTAATTTGGGGAACTAATTTTACATGAAATCGGGATACAATATCTAAAAATCAAGGCCTAACTAACAACAATTATAATCGGAAACAAATACAAAGTATACAGGTTATACAATCTTAGTTTTAAAAGGATATAAATTCCCTATTCACCAAGTCAACCAAATGCATAAGGATTCGCCAACAAAATTATTGACTTTTCGCCTTGTGTAGACACCCCATTTTTGACCGTCCTCAAGACTTGATTATGCTTACAGGTACATCCAGCCACAAGTTTGATTGCTCGTCGAGTACTCAACTGTCGTGGCGGAACGTCACAGGTTTGAGTTTTCCAAACCCTATATCCTTTTTGCCCCATTTTTGGACCATGTGTTGGTCCTTTTAGCTTGATTCTCATAGTGCACTGCCGGCCACCCTCTGCCACTGCCGGCCATGCATTTTCCCTTGCCTGCTATTGATGAAGCCTGCCGGCCATCAATGAGGCACTGCCAGCCACAACTGATGGCCGACAAAACATTTTGTCTCAGCATATTTCACTCCAGATCTTTTGAGCCAGCTGGTTTTCACTCATCCCTCCTCTATACACGTGTATGGAGGGATGAGGCCCTTTCCAAGCTTGTTGAACAAGCTTTGCTTGGCATTCTTCTATATAAGGAGAAGCCCCTCCTCCCTTACAGAGGTTTAGCACATTTTGAAGAGATATCTCTCTCTCTCTCTCTATATATATATATATATATTTTTCTCATTCTCTCTCTATATTGTTGTTGGTTTTGTGCCTTAAAGTCCATTTTCCTCTCACTTTTGCACTACAACACATAGTGATACACCACCACCTTTGAGCTGAGGTTCTTGGGAGTTTTATTTGAGCTCTGAAAGTTGGTTTTTGGCCTCAGAGGTTGCTGGTTTCGAAGTTGAGCTTCAAGGGTGAGTATATTCCCCTTTTTAGCATTTGTTTGTATCTCATTTTGGCCATCCTTGCATATTGTTTTAGGCCTTTCTTTCAACTGAAAAAAGTTCTGTATTGAAGTGCTTTTGATGATTGTTTAAGGTCTCTTTGGTGTTAAGGGTGTACAACCCTCTTGTATGCCTTGTTTGGCCTTGTTTTGTGCCATGCCTTAAGGCCTTTGAGTTAGTCTTTGTTTGGCCTTCTAGCCACTGAAATCCAGTGGATTTTCAGTGGTAGGCATGTGGTTTTGAGGCCTCAAATCAGAGGGGGATGACCCCCTCTCTTTTTGTTTTGCTTGCTTGAGTTATTGGCCTATCAAATGAGCATGCATCTCTATACTTTTGAGGCTTAGTTTAGGCACTTTTTTGTGACTTTTAGGACCTGCCTTAACTTTGTCCATGGCTGGTTTGGTCACCTTATGCATGTTTCTTGTATGTGTAGTGTAATCCCATTTGTGGCTCATCAAAGTAGCATGTCTTGCTAGCATGTATTGGCTCCATTTCAGTAGGTTTTTGATCATCATTTGACATGTCATAACTCTGATTTGGGCTGTTTTGGTTGTCTCTTGCATGCTCCATATACTTGTAGTGCAAATCTTGCTTACTAGTCTTGTGTGCATGATGTTTTGGCTCATCATTCTAGCATATTTTGGCTATGCTCCAGGATGATTTCATTCATATTTTGGGCTGTTCTAGGATTGTTTTGGGCTGCCATGGTCATATGACTCATGTTTTGTATAGTTATAGTGCAAATGCTTTGGCTAGTCTTGAGTTTTGAGGCCCCTACCATGCTATACTTGTGATGTTTGCATGCTTTGGAATCATTTGAAATGTTATATCAATGCATATTTCATAGTCATACACTTGTGCTTGCCACTCTTTTAATGCCTTGGGGGTTTGGCTCTTTATGCCTCAAGAATGAAGTATTGTGCATGCCATTAAGCCTAGGCCTTTGGGTCATCATATCAGTGCATTTTTGGTCTTGTTGTATCATGATGTAACTCTATTTCATGCTGTCCAAGTCATGCCATGTTTGGTTTTAATAGGTGCAGTGTAATACCCCTTTTGTAGCCTTGCATGCTTCATGTTTTGGCCTATTGTTCTAGCTTGTATTGGCTAGGTTCAAGCATGTTTTTAGTCTCTTATTGACCTGCCTTGGGACTGTTTTGGATGCCCTTGTCCCTTTGAGGCTTGCTTTGTATAGCCTTAGCTTAAGGCCCTTAGCTAGTTTCAAGCTTTGAGCTTTCTTGCATGCTATGTTTGTCTTGCTAGGGTGGTTTGGCACCATTTCATGCATGTTTTCAGAACTTATGGTGCTGTCACCTATCCATGCTTGTCACTCTTTAAGTGTGCTTAAGAGTCGCATCTTTTGTGCTTTGATCCTTGAGCCAATTGGCATGCATATTTGTCTTGCCTTTTCATGCTTTTCATACCATCATTTTAGCACTATTGGCCACTAATTTGGGTATGGTTGAGGTCTATCCATTTGGTTTAAGTCCATTGAGCATTGTGTATGCCTTGTAGTTCATCACATTGTGTATGCCATGTTGTATCATTGCATTTGTGTATGCCCTGTTCATAGCATTGTGTATGCTAGTTATTGTTCTTAGCATTGTGCATTGTGCATGCCATTAGCCTTATTAGGTTGTTCATGTTGCACTACATGTTTGCATGCTTGGTACCTTGCATGTTTGCATGCTTGAGATGTTTTGCATACTTGCATGCTTGAGTCGCATTGTGTTGCATGCATTGCATTGTGTTTGGCTTGGGTATTAAGCCAAACACGAGAAACGAGGGACGTTTCATACTTGAAGTGATGAAACGTGTCTCAATTCTCGGTCGCTGACGCTCTTAACAATGCATGATAGAGTTCTAGGCATTTATGTGTTTTTGTGCATTCATTTTACATTGAGTTGCACTTGTTGGATCTTTGGCCATCATGCATCGAGATGCGTGATTGATGGTCTTGGATCCAATTATGCCTCTCCCTTGATGTTTTGAGGTGATATGGAGTGGCATAGTGCGTACATATCCTAGGGAGACCCTCTATTTTCTCTGTTTTATGCTCTGCTGCAACTTGGTGTCACAGCACACCAGTAGCCAGCACCCTCTTGTTGTTGGCCGGCAGCTCTTCATTTGTTGCCGGCAGTGTAGATTCTTGGCTGGCAGGGTGGTCGACAGTAGCTCCTCATGGCCGGCAGGCCACTGGTGCATTCCTCAGCATGATTTTGGTGAGATCCAACAGCAAATTCTCAAGGACACCCTGCAGACAGAGCCTCAAAAGAGCATTTGGAGAGCTTTTCGGGACGGCAACCGAGCATGCATCTTCCACTTCTTCAAACAGAGCAGCTTATTTTAAAGCTTTACTTGTTAGTTAGCTTTAATTTGTAATTTAATTAGTTAATTTGTTAATTAATTAAGTGTTGTAATAATTAGTAAGTAGATTGCTTATTATTCAATTTGGTTGTGTAATAATTAATTACCTTGTTAGTTAGTTAATTAGTTGGTTTGTATTATTCATTCGGACCCTCCGTCGAGAGGGCGAATTGTTGTAATAAGTGTGCGTGGGTGTGTGCATGTCTTCCAACCCCACGTCTTTCTTCCTTTTACTTACCTGCTTTTGATGGTTAGTTTTAGGGCATGTTTCAATTAGCATCCTTATGCTTCGCATGTTTGCATTCATTCATCTGTCTTGCATGCACCGGGCTCGGTGCATCATACTAACTGCATTATACTTTCAATACATTACTTGAATTCGTGTTCAACAACATGATTATCAAGTTGCATCTTATATGCCATCTTAGTATAGCCAAGCCTGTCTTAGTTGCACTTTGCATGTGCTGCATTAGCCATCTTAACATGAACTAGGATCATGCATGATTTCTAACTAGTTCTCTGTTTTGGCTCGGAGTACACTGTAAGTGTCTATGCTTTAGCATCTTGCAAGAGTGTAAATGTTGCCATGATAGCATGCTTGCCATGAGGCTAACTGCTTATGTGATATAACTTCCTGAATGCCTGTGGGTGAAGGTTGGATTGCTTGAATTGGAACAATTCATGCAAATCATCGATTTAGCCTACTTGTGAGTAGCAAACTTCAAACCGTTTTCAAACAAACAAATATGCAATGTTTTGTTCCAACTTAGGCGATCTAGTCTATACTTGTATGTTGTGCGCATCACATAGTAATTCTAGCTAATAAACCACAATAAGAACACATGTGTTTTCAAAAATAAGATATCATGTTAGTAAAGGCCGATCTTTGATCGGGCGAGCGGGGGTGGTCATTTCATGACCTTCCCCTCTCGTACCTAAGTTCCCGAGCCGAGGCAACTTTGGTGATGACGAACACGTGGCCTTAGGCACGAGTCAGGATTTCCT